TTTTTTGCTTATTGAAATGGAGTAACTTTGCCTGCTTTGTGGCCATGGTTCGGCAGCTCCCCGAGCGTGTGAGCAGGGGAGAAGCCATCCATCACTTTCAGGAATCCTCCATGTCCTGGCCAGCTCTGCAAGCCCGGCCATGCCACGCTGATGCTGGTGCTGTCGGCCTCTGCGACAAGCTGACCTTTTGCACGAATAGGTCGTCCTCCTGCCGAGAGGCACTGCGGTACCTGCTGGGGCTTCTGCTCTTTGGAAAGCCACATCTATTACCTTCTAGGCAGGATCCTAGGCGTGCGATTAAATATCACTGCTCTTCAGCTGCGGATTCCAGAGCGCCCCAAACAAGTGTGCTGCTCTTCACAGAATGGAGACTAACAACTACTTTGCAGAAGAAAGTTATATCACGTATGTTACACATTATTGAGTGCATTTAAAGAACTACTTTTTTCTAAAGGGGTAACATAAATACAAACACAGGCTGGAAATACCTGTTTTAAAATGGATAGCAGTACCACTGGAATAAAAAAGAGGAGCAAATGGCGCAATAAAGCCATTCATCTTAGTCAGTTTAAAAGCGGTACTGCTCCTGTCAAGTGCGGATTCCACAAAAGATTTCATGGTCAATTAGGTAAATACAGGTATAAAAAGGACTAGTGTTGAAGATCACCAACCCAATTACTGATAATGTTTAATTTCACTTCCCTAAGTCCCCAAAGTGATTTTTTTCCTCATAGGTTTAAAATGCCCAGAGAAAATAGAGAAGTGTCTTCCCACATCACCATAGGAGGGCTTAGGACACTGTGAATAAAGAAGAAATGATGTCCAAACATACACATTCAGCCATATGAAAACACAAATTCAAAATATCCACACCCACATCTACACATATATAAAAACACATGTACAAAAAATACATATAATACTAATAAAACATTTAAATCTGAGCTAATGCTAGCAATAATGACAAGCTAATTCTTTTTCTTTACTTAAATTTGTTAAAACCTTCCTTTATTGCTCTGAAACTATTTTTTTTATTTCCTCTAGATACTTTATGTGGAAAAAACCAGTTTTATTTAAAAATAACAACTTCGTATTACATTCAGATATAGACACCTTTCTGAATGAAATTATCGTGGTCTTAATCAAGGATTTCTTGTACTATTCCCTATGGACACAGGTACATGTTTTTAAATAGTTCTTTCCCTTGAACCAAAATTTCAGGTGCATAGTCTGTTTGCACTTGTGTGAGATCGGATTTATATTATAGGAAGCCTGCTGACTGCTATTATATACACTGGCTTTTTCTGCCATCATTTTTGAAAATCTGTATTAAAACTAGAATAGCATTAAATGAGCCTTTTATACTTTAAATATTCAAGAGTTTTATATTCAAAATTTCTTCTGGTGCTGTCAAACTAGTGTGCCTGTAGGCAAGGTAAGATCAAGTTAGGCTCTCAAAGGTAGAATTAAATTTTATCAGGGCATCCGTCATAATATACAGTTTGCTTAAAATGCAAATAAAAACTATATAGATTCAAAGACTAAAGGCTTTCAAGGTACTGCTTAAAAATCCAAGGGACCATTTTTATGGAACAGATTTCCTTTAAATTTACATTTCCATCATTTTAATGAAAACACAGAATAAACAAATTATAATGGACATGCTTTAAATTCTCGTTTTTCACTTTGAATCTCTTTCTTTCAAGAAATTCCTTATTGCAGCTCTTGTTTTTAAGGAGAATAAAAAAAGATGCAGAAACACATTTAGGAAACCATTACCTCAGCCATTTTTGAAAGTTCAGTCCAGTCCTCCCTGTTATAGCTGCACATGATACTGGCAATCAGAATCTGAAAAGAATATATATGCAATCATTTTAAGCCATGTTACCAGATTTTGTAATACAGTACTTTACTGCGACTCCAGACATTAACTACCACTACCTACGTATGGGAACTACCAGCTGTATACTACTAGCAGGAACAGTGAAGTATAGCTGTGTATTTCACTGGGGATGAGAAACAGTATACAAAGTCATCTATTTTATCCCTATTTTTTAAGTCATTAAGGAGAACCAGCAGGTCTAGTCAAACACGTAGAGGACTTCGCATTCTCTTCGTCATGCGATAAAGCAAGAACAAAGGCTGTCCTAGACGCAGAGCCCACCAGGAAAACTGTCAGACATACTCATTTCTGAGGAATTAAGTTATTGACTATTTATACAATGCCAGAAGTACTTGAGGCTCTTTAAAGGTAGGTAAGACATAAGTGCAAGAGTTTACAGTCTAATGTGGCAGCGTACGAACACAATATTCCAGCTGACTTCAGAAAGCCAGGATACACCAAAACCAGTCCCCTGGAATCTCATACTATGCAAGCTAAGGACAGTGACAGACAGCCAGGAATGTTTTGTGTAGAGGCAACTGGGAGGAGACTCGTAGGATGTGGGGAAAATCTGGGAGGACCGGGAGAGTGGCACAGGGAAATTCCAGCTTTTCTTTTCCCACGATACACATTTTATTATTTCCTATTCGCTGGCTGTGGCCCCAGTTCCCCAAGAGCTGTTTCTGTGTATTGCCTTTCCTCCTCACTGCACTGAGCACCTTTCAGGTCCCGGTTCTGCCTGTAGGTGCTGCTGCCTCTAATACCTTTATTTAGGTTCAAGTTTTTAGGTAAAATAAGTTCTAGTAAGATTCTTCCGGGAGGGCAGCTAGACACACACCTTTCCAGTTGCACACAGTGGTATTCACTGTTAAACGAACGTTAACTACTCCTCTGATCGATGTCCACTTCAAGCAACAATGTTAATTTCTATTTAAGACTAAAACAAAACCACTTGTTCTGGACCCACCAAAGATCATCAGACACTGAAACACTGAAGTTGATACATTTGTGGTGAGATCAGCAGAGAATTCAGCCTAGGAACCCCTGCATGGAGGACTTCTTAGAAGGATGAGGTTTGCAAGAAAAAAGCAACAGAGACCTATATTGCAGCAGCTAAAAGGTTAAATCAGAAAAAGAAATCACAGAACTTATGAGCGCACTACTGGCTCAGTCTGTATTCAAAGGAAACGCTAGGAGAGGAGAACAGAAAAACATCTGGCCACACTCTTGTTTATTTGGCCTTCTTGTGTGAAATGTATGAAAGTTCACATGTAAGTTTGATTCACAGGTAGGATGAAATTTGGTTTTAATCTTTTTTGCTTTCCGAACAAGTTTTACTGTCGGCATTAACATCTGGGATGAGCTTAGTCTGTCACTCCCAGTCAGTATAACACTTCTCTTGAACTTTCCGATAATGCTGAGGGTTAATGACTCATTCACATAAGGCAAAATACTAAAAAGCATTGTGTAGAAAAATTGTCCAATACACACAATTGCTGGAAACTGTAAACTCCCAAATTATCTTCATAAGAAGGATGAGATATTTAGTATCTTTAGAAGGGAGGGAAATATACTTTAAAAAAGAAGGTAGCTATGGAGAAAAATAGACATGGTGAGGTTACAATCTATTCATTTAAAAGGACGATACCACTTATCATCATCATTATTTCCATTATTTCCATTGTTTTGCTCCGATGAATCTCTACCTATCAATCTACCACCCACCTACCTGCAGACTACCTACTCATCCACCCTTCTGGCTGATGTTTGCAAGACGGGAGTCTTTTGAGAAGGAAAGCATTTGATGAAGTGCCTGCCTTGCCTGCAGGTGCCCATTTGTGTGCACCTCTGGCATAAACATAAGACCAAGCTTTTCAATAAATGCACACAGTCATTACTGGCCATGCTTTTATTCCCCTCTTGACAGAGGAAAAAACTCTCTCCCCTATGCCATATTTTTTTTATTGTGAGAAACCTTATATAGCTCTATAGGTCAAATGTTTACGAAACAAAATTTGCTCTATATTCTACTTGAATATTCAAGATAATTTGAGTACTCTGGAAATAAAATATTAGTCTTTTTAAAGAGATTTATATTTTAAAAACACAAATTGTGAAAAATCAGTTTAAGAAAGTATACATGAGAAAAATGTAGAGTAAGAAACTAGTTAAAATATGCACTAAGTGGAAGTTAGCTAGAAACCGTATCTTGTCAAATTCACACTTTTTATAAACTAACTAAAGCAAAAAAAACCCCACCACTCAGACACTGACAACATGATAAGGATTTTCACAGTTGCAGTCACAATCCAAAGTATATCAGAAATCTACACAATTCAGCTTTAAAACAAACCAAATTTTTCAGCAGGGAAAGTTGTAAGACAACAAGGGTGGCTGGCTATAATCACAAGTAGCTGAGTTAGGTTCTGTCAAGTGTTATTAATGAAATTTGAAAATTCTGCTGGGAGTGTACAAAAGAGGAGGAACAAGATCTGTGATGTTTCAAAGAGCTGTTAATTAAGACAACATGTTTATTTAATATTGATTAGTTTTAGCATTCACATTTAAAATTAAGTACATACTTTTGACAGAAGCAATGGTTTACAATTACAACAAAAATAACTGAAAGCAAAAATTACATTTTTGCTGTGACTGTTCACATGAAAACCATGATCTCAGAGCGAGTAATGAAAATTTAAAAATAGTAGGGATTTTATTCTCCTTTTTTCCCCACTGCTCTCTTATAACTTGAAATTAAACTCAATTCCTAGGTGGAAACAGATCCTCCAGCACTCCATCTTAACAAAACTGTCCTTCCTCAAGTGACTATTCTTCCCCAGAATGCCTCTATGGTCTTTACATTTGGAATCAGTACCCATGACAAAAAAATAATAATTATCGTATGTGGACACTTAGGGGAACTATCTGTGATGTTTGAGGTTTGAATCTACTCCTAAAACCACACACGGGAATTTATAAAGAAAACATAGAATATTATCTCCTATTACCTAGAAAGAGAAAAGTAAGAGACAAGTAACAATAACAAGTGATAAAAATCAGAGGTTTTATTTGAAAGTAATAAACAGGAATTGTATCACATTTCAGCTTCTCAGCCTCTTCTCACTATTTTAATTTTTTTTCTTTTACATCTTTGGTGCCTACAATGCCATGTACCACATTACCACCCCTGCAACTTTAATAGCCCCAAGCAGCTGGTATCTCACAGAAGTCCAGCGCATGGCCCAGCCCAGGAGCATCCCCGGAGAGCACATCCTTCCTCTTGACTCATGAAATTTGCAGTGGCAACCTGACATGAGTTTAATTACAGTTCTTTGAAACACAAGTGCGAGGCCACACCACGCTTGCCCGGCTTACAAAAGTAGACTACTGACAGATCTTACAATACAGCTGCTGCTAAAGTGTAGTAAGTGGTAAATGAAGGTTGACTAAATTGCAGCTTTGTCATAGCTTGAGTGAGGGCTGCCTGCGAAACCATGCATGATTGAAGCACAGTGGGATCCCTGGCCCATTCCTTATTCCAGATCAGAAGCATAGCTGGCATATGTGTTCCCTCCTCTTCTTCATCCAAACTGCTATTTTGCCTATTGTCGAGAGATCCTGCCTACTCCGCCCGGCATCAAGGACCGCGGCGGCCCTGCAGGCACTGCTCCCTCCCCAATGATCACTGTGACAGATGTCACTAGACAAGGTCTTTATGCCCTGACACTAGACAAGGTGACAGACAATTTCTCCAAACGCCTATAAAGGGACAAACGCATGTTTGTAACATCAGACACTGTTCCGTGTACAGGATTTTCTTGATCATTCATGGAAGAAGAAGGTCTACAATAAAACTTCTTTTTTGTTGGAGGGAGGGGAGACAGAAGAGGGAGGGTATATAATGTACCATTTAGGACGTGATTATAAGAGGAATATACTGTAGCTAAAGCACCTAGTAAAAAGCTACATTTCACAGAATTCTGTAACTAATGCATTAGTAGTTGTTCTACTTAAAAGGACACTGACAAGGTACTTCTCATAATCCTTAAAATATTTTTTCTCCCTGTTTATAATAATCCCCTGGAAGCTTAAACTAGAATCTATTTCCCTTGTGAATGTTTTTTTTTTCTCTTCCATTGGCTCTACGTGAATGTCTCATGAATGCAATAGCATTAAAAGAAATAAAAAGGATGAGGTTCACCACTGTGTATGTTTTCAAGTGATCTTTCTTCCCCAACACACGGAATTCACTGCAAGAGGTTGCAAAACAAAAGGAAGGAGAAAAAAAAACCCTGGGCCTACTTTGGGTCAGACAATCCTGAGAACATCTATTTAAAGCCAGACAGCAGTAAAACTCTAGGTAGACAATTACCATTTGTCCTGTACCGCTCTGCAGGGAATAAGGGAGTTTCAGTACACTCAAAGAGTCTGAAAAAAATCTCAGGGGGATGGATTTAAATGTGAACACTGTCAATTCCCGCAAATTTAAGAAAACTTCCCAACAGACACAATGGAATCACAATCCTTTACCCTCAATGCCTGTAATAACCATATTTCTTTTGGTCATCTAATACAGCCCATAGCCCATATCTGTTCCTAACCTATTCTTCCAGGTCTGTGCATAATCTCCCTGCACTTCAGCAAATTCAACCACTCATATAATTTCTGCTTTCTCTTCCCTGCCTGTTCCTTCCCATTGCTGCACCAGGCTTGAGGACAGTTCTGCACCAATGTCCATAGATGCTCTGTTTGGCCACTGGTGCTGGCCTCAGCCTGCACCCCCTTCTGCTTTCTCAAACACTTGCAAAAATCCCCAGGAGTTTATTTTTGATGTGCACATCCCTTGCAGAAACAGAAAGAGGTCCTTAACATCATCTTTAAGAGAGCGTTCCCCTGAAAGCTGTAAAATCAAGAGAAGCTTTCAAGAAGACTGAAGGACTGGTTTTGTAACAGCTACCTGTTTGGG